GTAGTCGCTGCCTGTGTACTCCTCCTGCAGGAAAAACTGGTTCCACATCCAGCCTCGTCTCACTCTCTTGAGCAGCTTCTCTCCTCTGACGCTGGCTTCAGTCCCCTCTCCATCTGCTGTCTCTGTCCTCCGTCCATGCAAACACAAAGCGTCCAGGGACATGCCGAGACAGAGCCATACAACGGCCAGCGAGATAGTCCTCATTGCTCTGGAGGATGTGTAGGATGTGACAGGTCACAAATGTTTTATCTTCCCAGCTGTATCACTGTGAATTGGGAGATGGCTCCTTCAGTCATAGTCCTCCAGTCTGTCCTGGCGTGTGTAGAAGCTGTAAAAGAAGAAACAGACATGAGTACATGGCTGTGCTAAACCTCTGAGGAGCACTTTTAATAAGATTGCCTTGTGAGGCCTGTTTTTGGATTGCTTTGCACCTGAACTACTTGTCTTATGGATTTGGAAATGTATCTAAATCAAGAAGTGGCAAACAGATAGAACACCAGAAACATTGCTCATGTCAACGGAGCATCAAGCCTTTGATTTGAGAATAAACATGAAATGCCAACACGTTCTCACTCCCAAGCCGTCACATATTGACGGACGGTCAGGGCCCCTCCCCGTCACTCTATTACGTACAGGGTACCCCTTGGAAGTCAGTTTTCAACGGGCAGGGCGTCCCATAGACCTTCATAGACCTCCCATAGCGTTGATAATAAACGCCATGAGAACGCTCCCCGGCAAATGTTATCCCGACGGCCGGTTGTTATTGTCAATATTAATATAATAATTATTTATTTATTAATAGTCACACTCGATTCCACCGATTTTCTTGTTGCTGGTCGAAACCTCTTTTAGCAGAAACAAAGGCTACATTAATGTATTAAATCGATGTTAATCCATGTGTGTGGTTGTGGAATCAATGGACGTGCCGTTGTGCCGTTATTGCGTTGCCAGGCAACTACAACCCTTTTTATATTTAAAAACATTTTAGAAGGCCTCACGAAATACTTTAATGTAAATTAAAATTGAAATGTGGAGGGGATGTGTGTAATGTGGTGATTATTATTCACCCGCGGATCTATGGGTTGGGGTTCCACACGGACATTTTAGTTAACCGGACTTCCTGTTGATGTGAAATCCGAAAACATTTTTTTTTTAAAATAACACTTTATTCCGAGTTTGCTTGCTTTTCTCTTTGAAGGTCATCACATAACGGCATTGCAATACACGGTTCGGATGCATTAAATATTACATATCTTACTGTAGTTCGCTATTTATAGAGCCCTGATGAGAGGACTTCTAGACAGACAGGAGTAACTGCCGCCGAAACTGAATATGTGACATGGTGGATCATAAATATATCAGCAATCAAACAAAATCTTCAATTTCTCTTCACACAATACGTCTCCTTGCAGTATCAATACTAATTCGGCTGACTTTTGTATTTGATCCAATAGGTTTATTGGTATATTTACACAGTAACGGCGCACAGCTGATAGAAAGGGACACCTGGTGGTTAAAGCACGTTATTGAAATGTATTATTTTTATTATTAGATATTAATAGGAGACACAGACAGACAAACTACTAAGGCTTTATTTAAACATTAAAGAATACTTTAGGTTAAGGTCTTGTTTTGAATAAGAAAAAAACTTTGGGGGTATACATATTAAGCCTGACAAAGTACTAATATATTGCTTTCCTGCAATGCTAACTATGTTTAAGCACTTATTTTAACTGATATTATACATAGTTATTATACTCTTACAGTGTGAGAAAAACTTTTTAGAGAGTACTTGTCCATGGACAAGTGACTTCGGCAATTTACTTGTCCGAATACATTTTTCACTTAAATAATAATAATAATAATAGATTTAATTTGTTAGCGCTTTTACAGGTGCTCAAAGACGCTTTACAGATAATAGTGAAGAGAAAAGAAAAGAGAAGAAAGGAACAACAAATAAATATATAGTTAAAGTTAAAGTCAAATAATACAAAAACAATCTTACTTGTACAAACTACTTGTCCAGAATGGACAAAAATTGGGGCCACTGGAATCTTCTTCTTCGCCATCGTATTTTACATTTTCCCACGGTATTTACGACACCGCTAACGTAAGTGAGTGGTAAGATTTTACTGCATCACACATAGGGTTGGGTATCCTTTGGATTTTAACTATTCCGGTTCTGCTTTTCGATTCCGGTTATTTATTAGAAAAATATATAACCGTGAAAACATTAAGTCAAATCTGTATTCCTATTTACAAATCACTTCATACTGTTTAATTTATTACGGTTATTGAAAACAATTATATAAAAATAATCTCTGCATTGTTTAGTTAGTTCTAAGCAGTGCAGTTTGAGAATTGGCCCAGTCTCCTCTGGTGTTACACTGCAACCTGCCTGTGAGACAGAGTCCAACCACACATGTCCAACACATAGGCCTTATAATAATAATAATAATACATTATATTTATAGACTATAGGTCTAGCGCTTTTCTACAACTCAAAGACGCTTGCACGCTTACACATGTCCTGCAATACACATGGTGCAGCTGCCCAGCTGCTCACTGTTTGTAAAAGTAAATAAATATTATTTTCATTTCAATAATGTACTTTCTATACCCTGCTTCATAACAATACTGACATCCCTGTGCTCCTCCGAGTCTGGGGGTCCGGGGATGTGAGGACAGCGCGAGGCACAGACAGAGAGGCTGCTTTACTTCATAAAGGACATGGCATCAATATTAACAACACAGGAGCTAAAACGCTAAATAACCTTCATTATGTGTTTGAGAAAGAACATAAGACAGTTTAACAAAGATGAGGCTGTTAAACGGGCAGCGGATCCGCTGTGCGTAGAAAGAGAGAGAGAGAGGGAGACACTGAGCTGCACCATGCAGCGATCAGCTGATCCGGAGTATAGAGAGAGAGAGCTGCGGTCCGCGGGGCTCGCCTCCTGTCCTCACAACTCTTATTAATCCCGGGACCGGACAATTGTTATTTGTTCCTACCCGGAACCGAGTTTTGCTTCCCAACCCTGCCACTGTGCTTCCCGCCCAGCCCGGCCCCGGCCCCGCCCCCATCTAAAAGCGGCGAGATGTATTTCCTTAGGAATCTACAAGCAGAACCGAAACTAATATTTCTAAATGAACAATGGCGGACACGTACAATTTGCGAATGAGTTCTGCCTTTTGTAAACTGAATTTATCAATAATTTGTCATTAAATGAGGGCACTCATTCGCAAATTGTACGTGTCCGCCATTGTTCATTTAGAAATATTAGNGCCAAACAGCGTCAATTCAGACTGCCACACATTCACTTAAGGCAGTGGTTCCCAACCTTTTTTCCCAAGAGCCCCCCCAAATGACTCCTGTTGGAAGTTGCGCCCCCCCACATATAAGGGGGGCGCAACAGCGGTAATTAAAGTGTAAAAGTCTAAAAGATGCTACAACTACTGTCACAAACTGGATGAATGTGAAGTATTTTGTTAACGGAGAATGAAAGCGTAATTAAGGAGCACTATTGGAGTGACTTTGATGGTCATTGGACTCAGGATTAATTCATTTGGATTCCCGCTGTATGAATAAATTAAAGGACGGCGCAAGTGAAAACAATTCGCAAAGGGATTAAACTGTTTAAAACACATGCTCAAAGCCGGATTTTGCCGATGTGTTTATGTGGATTCAAAAGTCGTAAATAATCTACAAAATGGAGGAGTCTGATCGGAGCAACTGTGACAAATAATCCAACTGAAACCGGCATGAACAATGGTTTGGACACTTAACGTGCAGAAGAAACATTTCTATTAAAGAAAGAATTATACATTTCTGTCTTTTTATGCCTACAATAGCTACTAACTTCACCAAAAAAAAGTCTAAATATGATATTTGGCCTCAAATCACCTGAGGTCTGGTGCCCCCCCTGCGATCTTTGGCACCCCCCCAAGGGGGGCGTGCCCCCCAGGTTGGGAACCACTGACTTAAGGGGAACTGGGGATACGTATCAGCTGCTTGTGTGACAGTCGGACAGTGAATGCTTTACAGCGGCCGCTGCCGTGTGAGCTAACCCGGAGCTAACGTGAGAATACACTCCAGTGGACGAGCAGCACTGCAGCGGTCGGTAAATGCCGCTGAAACACATTAATAAACAATGAATCACGGCACTCTGGAGAAAAGTATAAGGTTGGCGAAGTCGTTATTTAATTTAATTTGGCTTCGTATGATTAAAAGCAAAACGATCATCGACCCAACGCAGATCCCCGTTGTTGTTGCAGTGAGCGCCGTAACGCTGTTTGGGAGCAAGTCAGCGACGTAAACGGTGACGTCATGACGCAGCAGCGGCAGCACCAGTCGGGCTCTGGGCGGTGTGAACAGAGCGGGAGCAGAAAAGGGAAACTGGAGCTGAACCAGAAAAGCTCTAGCACGGAGCTAGAATGGGAAAAGCGCTGGTGTGAGAGCCGCATAACTCACTAACTCACTCACTCAGCATCATCAAGGTTATCTTTAATTTAAGAATATGAGCTTGTCCACATTTCCAGGTAGAAGCTGGGATGTTTGGGCGTTTACAATATCCCCTGCTGTGGAAAAAACTCTCTTGCTTGGTACTGATGTTGCTGGGACCGAGAGATATGCTTTGGCCATGGGTAACAGCAGTGGGTCAAACTGTGCAATGTCTCTCCACCACTTCAAAATACTGTTGGTACTTGTCAATGTCTCTAGGTATGTACATAAAGCCCTGTAATACGATGTACTTTTTTGTTACCTGTTGTTTTATGTTCATGTTCTAACCTACTTGCTGCCATGTTGGACAGGTCTCCCTTGAAAAAGAGATTGATGATCTCAATGGGACCATCTGGTTGAATAAAGTTTTTTTTTTAAATAAATATATAAAAAAATATAAAGTTATTAATTTATATATTTTGTCAGACATTTATTTACCGCGATATTCGATATATCGTTACATTCCTAGTTAGGGCTAGTATGTGAATGTATTTTTTTTTTAAAAACAACTTATCTGGGCAGTGGAGCTTAAAAAAACGTAAATGTGAACAGTTTTTCCCTTCTAAAGTGATGGTACCATCAAGCTGAGAATCTGCATCACACCACAGGCGCAAGACAAAGGGCACTTCAGCAGTCATAATATATCAAGAGAACAAAGATATCAGATGTATTTTCTGTGGAGGATATCTCACCTTAGCCAGCATTATTTCCGACCATTTCAAAATTAAGCCACACCCATAGCGTTGCATTAGAACTGTTAGAAATACCTTACAAAAACATTGCCTGGCATAGCCCACCTTCCCTACCCTTCTCTCGGTTACTTTCTCCCTCTCAAACCCTCTGTATTTGTCTCAGTTCAAAAGTCGATATTATATTCTGATTTCATTTGTTGCTGTCCATAGGTGGATTTGTGATTTAAGAGCAGAGATCCCAGTGAAAAAAATGAAGCACTATAAAGGGAGTGACTGTATAGCCTGTGTGTCTAATCACTGGTTCTGGGTCTCTATTAAAGGGTCTGGTCCAGATAGAACACAGAGATAAATGGGGTAATGGGTCCGTGTGCAAAACTAGACCTGTGCAGGATTTTGTGTGGGATTCCAGATAATAAGAGAATGCATATCCTCTCCCAGTAGGGGGCAACATGGATCCACAAGGTCCCTGCCAATGAGAAAACTTCAGGGCTAAATGTTCTCTCATGACAGGACTTCCTCAGGGAAAAGAAGTGTTTAAGGGATTTATATATCCACTGGATGGATGATTATGGCATTAAGTTCCCTCACCTCTCTTTCCTCTTCTCTGCTGCTGTAGATCATGAAACTGGAAATTGAGGAGATATCAGATCTTCGTTCCTTTGTCTTTCTCTGGTGTGGCTCTGGTGAAGGCCTGGACATGGGCAGAATGGTAACATGATCACTCATTTCTTATATGCCCTTTTCACAAGGTGTTACAACTTACGGCATGCAGGTTATTAACATTGCATTCTTCCAATCATTCAGGAACTTGCTGGTCTAGTTTGCACCTGACAACTGAATTAGGCAACTTATATGTGTGCAATGGAATGACACTAGCTGTTAAACCATGTTCGTCTGTTCATATCAGATTAAGTACACCCAACTTTAAGACGCTCATATTTACTTTGCTGAATGGTCATTGTTGGTGTTACGCATGTCCCTATTAACTTGCCAACAACACAGCATCACTGCATGGCTTACTTTGCCTGAAATAGATTTTCTTGTAGTTTTGACCTGAGTAGGAATGTTTGACCAGCACCTGTTTTTTCCACAACTGTGATTCATATAAAGACTATTGTTATATTTGTATAAATATGAGTTTTCCCCAAAGACAAATGCAAAGGGTCATTAAACCGAATATTGAACATTTCAACAAGCCAGACCAGGAATAAAGAAAAAATCTGTTTTTTGCAGATTATTCAGAATCTTCATTATTGCTTGAGTATCATAGAGAAAGGCTGCTTTTCATTAGTAATTCAACTTCCCAACATTCACCCTCATTGTTATTACATCACATACATGATATGGATCCATCTTGGGAATGTGTAGGTGAAAAGAAGTGTTGAGGTTTTGGCTCAGCTTTTTACAGATCATGAGATACCTGTAGACTCATTTCAATACGACAAGGGTGCCATCTTTGAATAATTGCAATACCCAACGTAACAAGCTGCCTCAGTTTGATGATTATCAAACAGTAGCTATACTTATACAGTTTTTTGATGTCTTGCAAAACAACAATTTGTCCTTGCATTCACAGATAACGAAGGAAATAAATGAATCACACAACGTCATCAGGAGAATAAGAAAATATTAACTGCAATTACACTTTATCTGGCATTTTTTCAATAGAATATTGACTTATCAACGACATTCTCTTAATAATTATCTAGGAGAGTGAACCTATAACCTACACATGTAATTCTACTCACCTTTAATATGTATTACAACAACTAATAAGCATGTCAGATAGTGAATTTATTTGATTTGATTTAAATTGTTCTACAATGGTAAGCAACCAGAGTCTTGCATGCATTATTGCCATCTAGCAACAGATGTTAGTTTTGCATTTTGGGTGATATACTGTACACCTCCTGAGTTACCATTTTTGTTCACTTAACCCCTCAACCCTTCAAAGTATCAATTTCACCAAGTTCAGTTCAGTTTTTCAAACAACTGAAAACAACACTCAGTCTGCAGGGATACCATCCAGGGCTAATGCAGGGGAAGTCTCCGAGGCATGTTGAAATGTAGCCTAGTTAATGCACATCAGTTTGGAAACCAGTTTGTTGTTTGAAACATGTTTTATTAGTGTGCCGGGGATGCATTATGTCAATAACGTATTGATTATGTCAATAGCCTAAGATACAGTCATTTTCAAAGGTATTGCATGACCCTCATTGTTGTTACATATAGGCCGTTTCTCAATGTCGAGTATACCTGCTGCAGAGCCACTATTTCAACTATACTACGTCATTGAGTGGCGCCGAATGCTGGGCATTTATGCATTCAAACAGTCCTTCGGCGCCACTCAATGACATAGTATACTTGAAATGGTGGCTCTGCAGCAGCTTTACTCGACATTGAGAAACGGCTATAGTTTAAAATAATACCTTCCTTTATTCCAACCATTTCAGTGTTTGAGGAAGTGGGGCTTTAGGCGGTGTGAGGACATCTGTTGGATCAAGACCAATAAGAACAACCCAGGCAAAACCAAGGCGCTGGACCCGAAGGCAGTATTCCAGAGGACCAAGGTACAGCAATGTGAAATATATGTTAATGTACATATAACATCATCTAATTGCTTTGGGATCATAAGAAGCCCATGATGAATTCCAAGTTAAACCTGTTTTAATTATATTTTATGATATATTTGTTACTGGAAATGTGTATTTCCTCATGTATATTTTCCACATGTATATCTTTTTTTAACCTTTTAATGCTATTTTATTATCTCTCTATCTATCTCTCTCTCTCTCACTTATACTTAATATGTTAGACTACTATTTTGTTTTGTACCTTTTCATATGCACTGTCCCTTGCTTCTGTAACACGAACCATTTTCCGTCTGTGGGACGAATAATGGATTTCTGATTCTGAAATCAATATCCTCCCTCCAGGAACACTGCCTGATGGGAATCAAAGGAACAGTGCGCAGGAGCACTGACGGTGACTTCATCCATGCGAATGTGGACATTGACTTGATCATCACTGAGGAGCCTGAGATGGGAAATGTTGAGAAGCCTGTGGAGATCTTCCATATCATTGAGCATTTCTGTTTGGGCCGCAGAAGGTTGCACCTGTTTGGACGAGACTCAACCATCAGGCCAGGTGAGATTGAACCACTTTTCTTTCTTTGGTAATATCTGCTTGTATGTTTGCTTTAAGTTTCTTATTGCATTTGTGTTTTTTTCTCTTTTTAGGCTGGCTGACTGTAGGTCCTACTTTGACAAACAGTAACTTCAACCCAGAGACCTACGCCTCACATTTCGTCAATGACAACCTATCTGGCTGCACTGAGGAAATAGAGAGGCTGCGACCTAAATCTCCCCCTTCTAAGATGAAGTCGGACCGTGGGGGCGGAGCAGCTAGAGGGGGACGTGGTGGGCCAAATTCAGGAAGAGGCGGAGATAGGGGCCGTGAAAGAAACCGGCCAAATTTCCGAGGAGACAGGGGAGGGTTCAGGGGTCGGGGAGGGCCACATAGGGGCTTTCCTCCTCGCTAGAGCAAAGAATGAACCAGACTTATGGTGGGAATCCCTGTGCATAGAGTCCTGACCGTTTTTTATTGGCCAACACTGACGATGACCACATTGATGATTGATTATCACACTGGTTCCCGCGATATAAACAAAGAGGGATTTTTTTCATAGGATTTTGGCAAGATAATCTTCACAAATCAAGACCACCTTTAAAACATTAACATTTGTAAAGCAGGCTATGTGAAGTTTGTTATGGTTGGAATGTGACAGCAGAGAAGCTGGCAAATATAATCAATGTTTTTTTTAATCTTTTTGTGTTTTTTCATGCAAAAACTTAAGATAAAATGTGTTTTGCCTTTATAAACATTATTTTCTAATTTTGTGTTTGTGTTTATTTTTGTATTAGGTTTTGAATATAATGGATATTTGTCCCCAAGGCAAAGTTGGTCTTGCAAACAGGCGAAAGACATAACACAAAAACATAATCATGAATACACTAGAAAAAAAACTAGAGTATGCCATCACATCATCATCAGCCCTTTTTGTGGATTAGTTCATAATCCTTTTAGACCTGGACTTTCAATGTCTAAATCTCTGCTCAGAGGAGGAAGGGGGCACTTAAATATCTCTAGCCTTAGAAATTGCTCTCCTACAGAAGATAAGAGACGGATGAGATAGTTAACAATGATCGTCAAAGTTAAGGATTTGCTACCAACGAAGCCCTTTTGGGTTTAAGGGGTGTAATGCAACATTTTTGTTATCTAACATGATAAACACATAGATCCAAATGCTGTGTTTAAATGCTGTCATTTATGTTTGCACAACATTAGCTTCAGCTCTTTGCAAGCTGATTGGCTGTTATCGTCTGTTCATGCTCTCCCTGCATGATGTTAGCATGCACAATGAATGTCAAAGGGCTGTTCCTTTAGAGCAATGCCATGCATCTTCCTTTACATTTTCTATGACTTTTGGTACAGAATGTACAACTATAATTCAGGGTTGAGTCAAAGTCCCAACAATGAATTAGTGAAGATTAACCTTTACTAAGTAAGTGAACATTTACCTTAAATTAAAACTGCATAAGTATGCTCACAGAGCTCCTAGTTTGGCTTCAATACTTTAGTCTGGACCAGTTTTTGTGTTAAGAGTTTTGTCATCAAATATACACAGTAGTGCTTTTATGTATTAACTGGTTGATTCTCAAGCCCACAAAGAGGCCCCTGTCAGTTCCTGTTGTGCCTGTTAGGGAAGAACACCTCACCCCCTACTGAACGGGTAGATTGGTGGAACACTTCCTCTAACCTGAGGACAAGGTGTGGTGGTTGGTTTTGCAGGTTTTGCAGGTGTCTTCCTTTTGAGCTGCCTATGCATAGTGAGTGCATGTGTTAGTTAAGTGCTTGTGTTAGATATGATGCCTCAAACTGCTGGTACTTCAATGTGAAACCTTATTAAATGTTATTTTTTTTTAAATGCAAGTCTTTCTCTGCTAAAATATTAAATAGTAAGTAATGAAAAGCATGTCATGTTCTGCAACTCTGGATAGCAACATTGTTCTAAACACTTAATTCAGTGCAAACAATTTGTTTTCAAGGGTAAGGCCTGGTGAAAACTTTGTTTGAATCACACTGCATTCATGTTATGGCATTATTCTGCTGACATTTGTCAAAAGACAACACAGAAAGGGGTGTTTTTAAAAATGTAAAGAATGGATACAAAAAGATAAATCTTCAGTGTCAGTTAGCTGTCCAGGTCACAGTTCACTCACATTGCAAACAGGTTAATGCCACTGGAAACTATTTATTGCAAATAAACTATGCAAAGCTGAGATCACAACAAGATTAAACACATTTGTCACGCAGACAAGTTTAATATTGAATATGTTTACATACCTGTGTAACTTTGAGGGATGACTAACTATAATTTGGTGATGACATGATGCAGGTCTTTGAGTTTCCTGAGGTGTCAATGACCCAAAAGGCATGATTTATTTATCCTATTATGTAGTCTGAACTAATGAATGTGTTTTCTTTTCAAATAAAGAATCCTCTTTACATATGAAGTAGAATAAAGCACCCCATTACCCAATTCCTAACAAAGATTGTTCACAGAAGTTCAAAATAACCAGGGATATTTATAAACCTGGCAGGATATATACCAAAGAAAAATGTATTCAAATATATATATATATACATATGCATCTGTCCTGTGAAAGATGCATTTCATAACTAAAATAAAGAAAGTATGGCATTGCTGTTAGAACATGGGTTTTCAACTAGGTGCCTTTAAGTCACAGCTGGTAATGTTTTTTTAAGTACTGTTTATTATTATATGTTATTTGTAAAAAACATCTCTGAATTTACCTATTTGAAAAAATGAAATAAAAATGACAAAAGTTACATTTACACAACTTTGAAAATAGTATAATGAATCCTCAACCACAACGGTGCTAAACAGGGCTAAAGTCAGAGGACAGGAGACAGACTAAATGTGAGACTGCATTGTTAGTTACGTGTCTCTGCCTTGAATCAAGCCCTTTTGTACACAGTGGATTAGAGACTGAATGGGTGGATTTGTGAGCCTCTATTCTCCTTTAGACATGCACATTAACAAAGCAGGTCTTACAGTTATATAGAGAGCCTTGCCAGAGAGGTTTAAAGTGCATTTAACAATATCTCTACACAATTGTCCTTGAGGAATTAGGATTAATCATATATTATATTACTGTATATATAAATATTCACATGGCTGTATACTACCGGGATTTAAAAATGCTCCATATGAATTACTTTTAAAATCCAACAATAGGCAATAACAATTTCTGAACATTACATTTTTATGCTCTCTAACATACGCAATGAAATGGCATTTTTCTAATAAACAACTACTTAGCACGCTTAGAATCAACTATATTTGCCATGTCTGTAACACCGCATTTTTTAAATGTCATAAGGAACTAGTACTGGGAGAACATTGTAAAGGCACACATTGTTCTCCAGAGACAACACCTTATTTCAAAAGGACTTAACTTCAAACATAAATTATAATGATGAACAATCCAATATCAACACAATATAAAAAGCACAACATAATTGTTCTATTAAAGTTAAAATAACCTAAAAGATGGGTCCCCTTATTTGTATTGGAAGGGTTTGGAGTATACAGAGGCTTTTATTATTTGTGTGTTACATAATACCAATTTAAAAAAAAACAAAAAACATTTATAGTAGACTACTTTCTAATTGTGTGACCGATTGGATGCATATTTTTATTATCTTACATAAGAAAAAAGGGAATTCTTGACTACTCCTCTGGGTGAGTCATGTATACCTGGAATGCTCATCTGACAGACTTGTCTCCAGAATGTTGGAAAACCTGATTCATTGTCAGATTGGTTTAAATTCCGGTACTTTTTTAAGCTACCTTACGACGGTCGTAAGTTTGTGTGGTGTGTCGCAGCCATTCAGACTTAAAGGAGTCAAATGGGGGTCTTTCATTAGATTCTTTCCTATACTTCTTGTTAAACATTAAGCTATCTTTGGCTCTTTTCTGCTGGAACAAATGTAAATGTCCCCTCTGCGGGACGAATAAAGGTATTCTGATTCTGATAATATAACTTTGCACAATGTTTTCAGAACTGTTTCAACATAGAATTGACCAAATTGGTTGTGTCTTATTTTTGTTAAATATGTTTACATTGTTTTCTTTGATTTCTCTCTGAATACACCTTGCTTTGTGTACTTATTTGTCTTATTGTTTGTGCCAGATATCAACTTTGTGATCTAAGAAAATAGAGGTATGGGTTATTTTTGAACACTTCTAAAATATGTTAAATGAAACATGATTTAAAATCAAGAGGACCAACCTTGTCTGAGTTCCCATCAACGTGATGAGCTTATACATGTGTATAATACATTCACCACAATGCATTTCTTTACAGTAACACATGAAATAAAGTTGTACATATGTCAGTTAGGTTCCTATATTTATCAAAATTATATGTTCGTAAATATTTGATTCAAACAGATGTAATAAGACTTTGTTTACTTTTCTTTTTCATCTTTTTGCATTTAGATCTATTACACCTTGGGTGTGTTTTGCTGTGATCATTTTTCTTTTTTTCAGCCGACCCAGTATATGAAACCTACACAAACCTTTTCAAAAAGGGAATACAAAACAGTCAATGGCATTTATTGTCAATAAAATATGAGGTTTGACAATGCAGTTGAACCTGCTCACTTGTGTGAAACACACGTGATATCCTCACGGCAGGAACAGAACATCCCATTTGATGGTGTTATGCTCGGAAATACCCATGCACGTGACATTACGGTCTCTTAGAAAAAATATTGCCATGTTACTCGATACTAAACCATAGAGGCTTTAGAATGTGTGCATTAAAACCCTTCTCTTGCGTTAGGTCATACCCCCCTTCCCATGCTATTTTCGGTCAAAATTGACCGGTGTGTTTTGCACAGTGATATCTCTGGAACCCCTTATCCAATTCTGATGGTTGACATCTCATTTGAACAGTCAAAGCAAGTAGAATCAATGGATGACAGACATAATGACACCAGCGGTGAATTTCATATTATTTTGGCAGTAAGTTCAAAGAAAGTGCTTATTTTACATTACTGTATATTATAACAATGCTTGCCATGTAAGCTGTGTTTACTGGAGATGGAAATGATTTAGTTAGTGTTGTAGATGAGATTCTTCCCGTTCCAATGATGTATGGGATGTATTGATTTGATAGAAGCAAGCCAGTGTTTCATGTCATGTCATGGTCCGGACCCACCGGTGGGCCCATCAAGTTCAGCATTCACTGTGATGAATATAAAATAAGACACTGATACTGTTTCCCTCAATGAACATTTATTGAAAGAGAAATATACCATAACAGAACATGTGTGTGTGTGTGCTCACGTGTGTTCACGCACATAGTTGGCAATGCAAAATTGTGGAATGTCACCTCAGGCTCTTCTCCCTCAGGGGCCTCTATCTCAGCGGCCTCTATCTCAGGGGCCTCTCCCTGGTCTGTTGTAGGCTCATAGTCTGGATCGCTGTTGTCTTCCATTTCTGAGACATCTTCCTCTATCTCCTCTTCATCTGGTTCAATCTCCTCTTCATCTGGTTCAAAAATGTGTCCAGAACCTCTCGTACAGAAAATCGCCTAATCGGTCGCCTGCTCATTGTGTCATTTTTTTTTTTTCTCTTTTAATTATAGGTGTATCCCATTGAGATCATTGATCTCTTTTTCAAGGGAGACCTGCTTAAGTAGGTTCCACATGAAACATAAAAACATAAAACAACAGAACAACAAAAAGGACATCATACAGCATCATTACAGGGATTACAATTTACATAACTATCCACATGAACAGGTACCAACAGCATCCGATTGTACAACATCCAACCGAGCTTTAAAAACATTTAGTGGCACCAGATTGCTCAG